CTGCTCGCTGACGTGCTGGTTGCAGTGCTGCTGCTGGTCATTGACAGGCTGGTCATAGTGCTGCTGCTGGTCATTGACAGGCTGGTCACAGTGACGCTGCTCGTGCTGCTGCCACTTGTGCTGCTCGCTGACGTGCTGGTTGCAGTGCTGCTGCTGGTCATTGACAGGCTGGTCACAGTGACGCTGCTCGTGCCGCTGCTACTTATACTGCTCGCTGACGTGCTGGTTGCAGTGCTGCTGCTGGTCATTGACAGGCTGGTCATAGTGCTGCTGCTGGTCATTGACAGGCTGGTCACAGTGACGCTGCTCGTGCCGCTGCTACTTATACTGCTCGCTGACGTGCTGGTTGCAGTGCTGCTGCTGGTCATTGACAGGCTGGTCATAGTGCTGCTGCTGGTCATTGACAGGCTGGTCACAGTGGCGCTGCTCGTGCTGCTGCCACTTGTGCTGCTCGCTGACGTGCTGGTTGCAGTGCTGCTGCTGCTGGTCATTGACAGGCTGGTCACAGTGACGCTGCTCGTGCCGCTGCTACTTATACTGCTCGCTGACGTGCTGGTTGCAGTGCTGCTGCTGGTCACAGTCCCGCTGGAAATGCTCGTGCTGCTGCTCGTCAGGGTCCTGCTAGTGTTGGTCATGCTGGTAGCGCTCGTGATGGTCGACGATGCTGTCGTCATAGTAAGTGTAGCGGTTCTGCTGGTAGTGGCCGTCGAGGTCGTGGACGTTGTAGTCTGCCCGATACAAATGAATCGCAAATTTTGGTTCCCTTCGAAGGATCCGATGGAATTGCTCCAGAAGGCAACATCACTCTCGGTGTTGTAGGCGCAACCATTGAACCCCAAACCAGGAACAGACCAAAACGTTTTGTCTTCCAGGCCGAGGCTCTGAATCGCCGTCCCACTGCACATGGTCTCTTCAGTCACGTCCAGCGTCCCGAAGTCTGCGCAGACCTGGCCACAGTTCAGCAGCGAGAACGCCAGCGCTGAGCTGATCGTTGTTGTGCCAATCGTACTAGTCAAAACGGTGCTGCTGGTCACAGTCGTGGTGACAATGGTCGTGCTGCTGCTGGTCAGAATCGCGACGGTCGTGCTCGTGCTGCTGCCACTTGTGCTGCTCGCTGACGTGCTGGTTGCAGTGCTGCTGCTGGTCATTGACAGGCTGGTCACAGTGACGCTGCTCGTGCTGCTGCCACTTGTGCTGCTCGCTGACGTTCTGGTTGCAGTGCTGCTGCTGGTCATTGACAAGCTGGTCACAGTGACGCTGCTCGTGCCGCTGCAACTTATACTGCTCGCTGACGTGCTGGTTGCAGTGCTGCTGCTGGTCATTGACAGGCTGGTCATAGTGCTGCTGCTGGTCATTGACAAGCTGGTCACAGTGACGCTGCTCGTGCTGCTGCCACTTGTGCTGCTCGCTGACGTGCTGGTTGCAGTGCTGCTGCTGGTCATTGACAGGCTGGTCACAGTGACGCTGCTCGTGCCGCTGCTACTTATACTGCTCGCCGACGTGCTGGTTGCAATGCTGCTGCTGGTCATTGACAGGCTGGTCATAGTGCTGCTGCTGGTCATTGACAGGCTGGTCACAGTGACGCTGCTCGTGCCGCTGCTACTTATACTGCTCGCTGACGTGCTGGTTGCAGTGCTGCTGCTGGTCATTGACAGGCTGGTCATAGTGCTGCTGCTGGTCATTGACAGGCTGGTCACAGTGACGCTGCTCGTGCTGCTGCCACTTGTGCTGCTCGCTGACGTGCTGGTTGCAGTGCTGCTGCTGGTCATTGGCAGGCTGGTCACAGTGACGCTGCTCGTGCCGCTGCTACTTACACTGCTCGCTGACGTGCTGGTTGCAGTGCTGCTGCTGGTCACAGTCCCGCTGGAAATGCTCGTGCTGCTGCTCGTCAGGGTCCTGCTAGTGCTGGTCATGCTGGTAGCGCTCGTGATGGTCGACGATGCTGTCGTCATAGTAAGTGTAGCGGTGCTGCTGGTAGTGGCCGTCGAGGTCGTGGACGTTGTAGTCTACAAATGAATCGCAAATTTTGGTTCCCTTCGAAGGATCCGATGGAATTGCTCCAGAAGACAACATCACTCTCGGTGTTGTAGGCGCAACCATTGAACCCCAAACCAGGAACAGACCAAAACGTTTTGTCTTCCAGGCCGAAACTCTGAAGCGCCGTCCCACTGCACATGGTCTCTTCAGTCACGTCCAGCGTCCCGACGTCTGCGCAAACCTGGCCAAAGTTCAGCAACGAGAACATCAGCGCTGAGCTGAACGTCGCTGTGTTCGTCGTGGTCGTCGGCTCCGCAGCTCGTGTTGCGGCCGAAGATCCCTGCCAGGTGTGCCTGCACTGCGGGCAGTCCGAACACTCCTGGACTGCAGCACATGCGCTGCTCCACTCCCTTGCTCCAGGGCAGCGGTTGTGATCACACGCATGTGCAGCCGAGAACCCTCTGGCTCCTCTGGCCAGGTCAGCGAACGTGCTGACGTTCTCAACCACGATGACAGCAAGGGGTACAGATGCATCAAAAGCGCCAGCAGTCAGATATGAAAACAACCGCATCTTCGCTGGGGCGACGACGGCAATGCTTTGCAACCCAGTCCAGTTCTCGATACATGAACCAGAGAAGGTTTGAGTCAAAAGGCTTGAGCCAAAGGCTACCGACCTGGCGGGGATACGCGAAGCGCCAATACACGAAACGCGCCTCGGGCCAATCATTCAGCTGTCCCTCAAGATTCTGCAATCGCCACTTCACCTCTGTCACTGGGAAGGCCCATTCGTGAGTCTGGAGCCGATCCTGCAGGAGAGTGAATATTTCGCAGATCTGCGCCACTGTGATCAAAAGGGCGGAGTCGGGGGCCACGCGGATCCGTTGGGGACCTCTGCCCTGGGAGGCTGCGAACTGCGCACCTGTCACCACTTTGTGGGCTCCTGGGAGGTGCAGCGGAGTCGGGGGCCGCGCTGACTCATTTGGGACCTCTCTGCTCCCTGGGTGCTTGCGAGCTGTGCGCTCGCTGCTTCCTTGGTGGCTGCGAACTGCGTACCTGTCACTACTTTCGTGGGCTCCTGCAAATCTGTTTGAGACCTCGCAGCTCCCTCGGGTGCTGCGAACTGCGCATTTGTCGCCATTTTCGTGGGCTCCTTGGAGGCACGGCGGAAGTGAGGGCAGCGCAGATCGACTTGAGACCTCGCGGCTCCCTCGGGAGGCTGCGAACTGCGCAACTGTCGCCACTTTCGTCGGCTCCTGGGAGACACGGCGGAGATGAGGGCAGTGCAGATCGTGCATCTTTGGCGATGTGTTCTTTTGTATGGAGCGTTCATACAACTACTCGCCTTGCGTGGAGAACGAGGTTGGGTGCTTCTCAAGTATTTTTGCCTTCTCGCCTTCTCGTTCCGATGGGCTCTTGGGGCCTCCAGGTGGCTCTAAGATGGCCCAAGAGGGCCTCGAGAAGGGTCAAAGAGGACTTCAAGACGGCGCCAAGAGCACCCAAAAACAGCCCAAGAGGGCAGTGCAGTCAGGGGACCCCGCCTTCTTTAATCGATGTTCTCAGCATGGCCCCAGGGCAGCAAAGGCCTCCCATAATGGCCCCCCCCCCAGAGGGCCCAGGTGAACTGCGAAGAGCCTCCCGTATCGAAAGATCCGCGAAACCATTTCTGGTGGACTCCGGGCCTACTCAGAGAGATGCCGATCTCCTGTTTGACGGTTACCCCCCCTCTTTGTTCCACTGCGTGCTCCTGGGCTTCCCGATCAATGCAAATCGCCTGGGGATCGTTGCTGGACGGGCTGGTGGGGATATTTTTTTCGTCGCGGCCGCAAGCGAGCGCGCCAGCAGCGTCAGAGGTCGGGCGGGCTACGCGCGAGCCTAATTGCCTAGCGCACGGGGACCGACGGCCGAACCTAAGCAGCCTAAGCTGCCTAAGCTGCCGGGCTGCGCGAAGTGGTGCCAGGAAGCGGGGCAGGGCCCGAAACCTTGCCGGCGGGCGATGCAAACTGCAACCAGGACCAGGATCCGGGGGCAATGCCGATGCGCGAAGTGAACCAAGGAGCTATACGCAGCCAAAATGGCGCGGCAAGGCCACAGACAGCGAAACTGACAACTGACCGCTGAGGGCGAGGACTTGACGTAGGATAAACCACACGAGACGTCCATGCACCCAGCCCCTGAGGGGGGCAGCTCGCTTAGAATACATTCCAGGAGGTAATACTAACACCGATGGCCAGGAGGAATACGTCACTGACCAGGAACCACTACGAATGGCGCCACCGAAGTCGCACACTCACCTCTGAGATAAAAGACGGGGCAATCCCCTCTCCGAGAACGAGAGGAAGAGCCAGCCAGGAAAATGGTGGAAGGGATCGACACCGGAAACCTGTTTTTTTTTGGCAGGTCCAGGCAAACAACTCATGCGCGCAAGCTCGTTCGAGTACACGAGCCTGTAACTTCGCTGCTGGAGACCGTGGCGAGACATTGGGTCATTGCTACACTGACGCCATTGTCAAAGAAAGAGAAGCTGCAACTCGACAACGAGGCAACTCTCAAGCTCCAGAGCACGAGAAATGAGAAGACAAGCTGGCAATGAACAAGTAGAAACATAGGAGAACGATTTACATCGGCGCGTGGCCTGCTGCTTCTGCTTGGGCAACTCCCCCCTTTGCCTGAGCAAGGCGTCAATAGTGATACATGTGGGCTCGTCGCCGTCATCGGCGACCAGGAGCTGCACAGTGTTGGCAGAACTACACGCCTCTTCCTCTGGCGGAAGGCAGGGCAACTCGTGCGCCCCGCGCGGCGGGACCCAACACGACGCGTCCCCGACTGCGGGCGGTATGCACCTGGTACTGTCTCTGTGCACCTGGGTCTTATCATTCTCCACAGTCAGCGCTTCGACTCGTGAATGGGACGCTCCACACGTAGCGCTTAGTTGCTTTGTTTGCTCTGGGCTGGTTATGCTTGTAGTTACGATTGTCAAGAGCGCTCGCTAGAGGGCGGCCGCCCTTAGTTGCCACTGCCACAAACTACAGCGAAAGAACATCCATATCATGCTCCACACTACCGATGCTCCACTCCACGTCCACGCTTAGTGGACGTCTGCGCGAAAGCAGCGGAATGATCGTGAATGGGCAAGCGAGACAACATAATGCCCCACAAACGATGACGAATAACAAAAGAGGACTCCGAGAATCGCTCGACCCTGCCTGGATATCATGTGTGACATCGACGGCAATCACCGCGATATCAAGCACGGAAACTGAATGCACGCCCTCCCCGAAGATCGAGTCGATGTGATCCTGTAGCAAGGACGTAAATAATATGATACTCACATATGTTAGGGATGCCTCCGCATCGACAACATCTGGAACATCAGCAGCGCTATCTGAGGGCACGTTGATGTTGAATTCCACCTCGAAGGTATCCCCAATGAGCTGTCGCGTGGCGGCCCTGACCCTCCGGGACTTTACGTACCAAACGGAAACGTAGCTCGCTGGTATGCTCACGACCTGAGAAATAGTGAGACGAAACGGGTTCAAGACCTTCTCCGCAGCCAGCGGATCGTTCCCAAATGCGCCTGGATCTGAAAACGAAGCCAAAATCGATCCGCTCAGCTGAAGTGGTACTTCACTGTTCGAAAGATTGTTCTGGATCGTATCGGAAGCAATATTTGTCAAGCCAGTCACTGAGGACGAGCCGCTTGAGGTGCTTGTTGTGCTGCTGCTGCTGCTCTCAGTGCTGCTGGTCAGAGTCCTGCTGGTACTGGTGCCACTTGTGTTGCTAATCGACAGGCTGGTCACAGTGACGCTGCTTGTGCTGCTGCCACTTGTGCTGCTCGCTGACGTGCTGGTTGCAGTGCTGCTGCTGGTCATTGACACGCTGGTCACAGTGACGCTGCTCGTGCTGCTGCCACTTGTGCTGGTCATTGACAGGCTGGTCACAGTGACGCTGCTCGTGCTGCTGCCACTTGTGCTGCTCGCTGACGTGCTGGTTGCAGTGCTGCTGCTGGTCATTGACAGGCTGGTCACAGTGACGCTGCTCGTGCTGCTGCCACTTGTGCTGCTCGCTGACGTCTGGTTGCAGTGCTGCTGCTGGTCATTGACAGGCTGGTCACAGTGACGCTGCTCGTGCCGCTGCTACTTATACTGCTCGCTGACGTGCTGGTTGCAGTGCTGCTGCTGGTCATTGACAGGCTGAGTGCTGTGCTGGTCATTGACAGGCTGGTCACAGTGAGCTGCTCGTGCTGCTGCCACTTGTGTGCTCGCTGACGTGCTGGTTGCAGTGCTGCTGCTGGTCATTGACAGGCTGGTCACAGTGACGCTGCTCGTGCCGCTGCTACTTATACTGCTCGCTGACGTGCTGGTTGCAGTGCTGCTGCTGGTCATTGACAGGCTGGTCATAGTGCTGCTGCTGGTCATTGACAGGCTGGTCACAGTGACGCTGCTCGTGCCGCTGCTACTTATACTGCTCGCTGACGTGCTGGTTGCAGTGCTGCTGCTGGTCATTGACAGGCTGGTCATAGTGCTGCTGCTGGTCATTGACAGGCTGGTCACAGTGGCGCTGCTCGTGCTGCTGCCACTTGTGCTGCTCGCTGACGTGCTGGTTGCAGTGCTGCTGCTGCTGGTCATTGACAGGCTGGTCACAGTGACGCTGCTCGTGCCGCTGCTACTTATACTGCTCGCTGACGTGCTGGTTGCAATGCTGCTGCTGGTCACAGTCCCGCTGGAAATGCTCGTGCTGCTGCTCGTCAAGGTCCTGCTAGTGTTGGTCATGCTGGTAGCGCTCGTGATGGTCGACGATGCTGTCGTCATAGTAAGTGTAGCGGTGCTGCTGGTAGTGGCCGTCGAGGTCGTGGACGTTGTAGTCTGCCCGATACAAATGAATCGCAAATTTTGGTTCCCTTCGAAGGATCCGATGGAATTGCTCCAGAAGACAACATCACTCTCGGTGTTGTAGGCGCAACCATTGAACCCCAAACCAGGCACAGACCAAAACGTTTTGTCTTCCAGGCCGAGGCTCTGAAGCGCCGTCCCACTGCACATGGTCTCTTCAGTCACGTCCAGCGTCCCGAAGTCTGCGCAGACCTGGCCAAAGTTCAGCAGCGAGAGCGCCAGCGCTGAGCTGACCGTTGTTGTGCCAATCGTACTAGTCAAAACGGTGCTGCTGGTCACAGTCGTGGTGACAATGGTCGTGCTGCTGCTGGTCAGAATCGTGACGGTCGTGCTCGTGCTGCTGCCACTTGTGCTGCTCGCTGACGTGCTGGTTGCAGTGCTGCTGCTGGTCATTGACAGGCTGGTCACAGTGACGCTGCTCGTGCTGCTGCCACTTGTGCTGCTCGCTGACGTGCTGGTTGCAGTGCTGCTGCTGGTCATTGACAGGCTGGTCACAGTGACGCTGCTCGTGCCGCTGCTACTTATACTGCTCGCCGACGTGCTGGTTGCAATGCTGCTGCTGGTCATTGACAGGCTGGTCATAGTGCTGCTGCTGGTCATTGACAGGCTGGTCACAGTGACGCTGCTCGTGCCGCTGCTACTTATACTGCTCGCTGACGTGCTGGTTGCAGTGCTGCTGCTGGTCATTGACAGGCTGGTCATAGTGCTGCTGCTGGTCATTGACAGGCTGGTCACAATGACGCTGCTCGTGCTGCTGCCACTTGTGCTGCTCGCTGACGTGCTGGTTGCAGTGCTGCTGCTGGTCATTGACAGGCTGGTCACAGTGACGCTGCTCGTGCCGCTGCTACTTACACTGCTCGCTGACGTGCTGGTTGCAGTGCTGCTGCTGGTCACAGTCCCGCTGGAAATGCTCGTGCTGCTGCTCGTCAGGGTCCTGCTAGTGTTGGTCATGCTGGTAGCGCTCGTGATGGTCGACGATGCTGTCGTCATAGTAAGTGTAGCGGTGCTGCTGGTAGTGGCCGTCGAGGTCGTGGACGTTGTAGTCTGCCCGATACAAATGAATCGCAAATTTTGGTTCCCTTCGAAGGATCCGATGGAATTGCTCCAGAAGACAATATCACTCTCGGTGTTGTAGGCGCAACCATTGAACCCCAAACCAGGAACAGACCAAAACGTTTTGTCTTCCAGGCCGAAACTCTGAAGCGCCGTCCCACTGCACATGGTCTCTTCAGTCACGTCCAGCGTCCCGACGTCTGCGCAAACCTGGCCAAAGTTCAGCAACGAGAACACCAGCGCTGAGCTGAACGTCGCTGTGTTCGTCGTGGTCGTCGGCTCCGCAGCTCGTGTTGCGGCCGAAGATCCCTGCCAGGTGTGCCTGCACTGCGGGCAGTCCGAACACTCCTGGACTGCAGCACATGCGCTGCTCCACTCCCTTGCTCCAGGGCAGCGGTTGTGATCACACGCATGTGCAGCCGAGAACCCTCTGGCTCCTCTGGCCAGGTCAGCGAACGTGCTGACGTTCTCAACCACGATGACAGCAAGGGGTACAGATGCATCAAAAGCGCCAGCAGTCAGATATGAAAACAACCGCATCTTCGCTGGGGCGACGACGGCAATGCTTTGCAACCCAGTCCAGTTCTCGATACATGAACCAGAGAAGGTTTGAGTCAAAAGGCTTGAGCCAAAAGGCTACCGACCTGGCGGGGATACGCGAAGCGCCAATACACGAAACGCGCCTCGGGCCAATCATTCGGCTGTCCATCAAGATTCTGCAATCGCCACTTCACCTCTGTCACTGGGAAGGCCCATCCGTGAGTCTGGAGCCGATCCTGCAGGAGAGTGAATATTTCGCAGATCTGCGCCACTGTGATCAAAAGGGCGGAGTCGGGGGCCACGCGGATCCGTTGGGGACCTCTGCCCTGGGAGGCTGCGAACTGCGCACCTGTCACCACTTTGCGGGCTCCTGGGAGGTGCAGCGGAGTCGGGGGCCGCGCTGACTCATTTGGGACCTCTCTGCTCCCTGGGTGCTTGCGAACTGTGCGCTCGCTGCTTCCTTGGTGGCTGCGAACTGCGTACCTGTCACTACTTTCGTGGGCTCATGCAAATCTGTTTGAGACCTCGCAGCTCCCTCGGGTGCTGCGAACTGCGCATTTGTCGCCATTTTCGTGGGCTCCTTGGAGGCACGGCGGAAGTGAGGGCAGCGCAGATCGACTTGAGACCTCGCGGCTCCCTCGGGAGGCTGCGAACTGCGCAACTGTCGCCACTTTCGTCGGCTCCTGGGAGACACGGCGGAGATGAGGGCAGTGCAGATCGTGCATCTTTGGCGATGTGTTCTTTTGTATGGAGCGTTCATACAACTACTCGCCTTGCGTGGAGAACGAGGTTGGGTGCTTCTCAAGTATTTTTGCCTTCTCGCCTTCTCGTTCCGATGGGCTCTTGGGGCCTCCAGGTGGCTCTAAGATGGCCCAAGAGGGCCTCGAGAAGGGTCAAAGAGGACTTCAAGACGGCGCCAACAGCACCCAAAAACAGCCCAAGAGGGCAGTGCTGTCAGGGGACCCCGCCTTCTTTAATCGATGTCCTCAGCATGGCCCCAGGGCAGCAAAGGCCTCCCATAATGGCCCCCCCCCCAGAGGGCCCAGGTGAACTGCGAAGAGCCTCCCGTATCGAAAGATCCGCGAAACCATTTCTGGTGGACTCTGGGCCTACTCAGAGAGATGCCGATCTCCTGTTTGACGGTTACCCCCCCTCTTTGTTCCACTGCGTGCTCCTGGGCTTCCCGATCAATGCAAATCGCCTGGGGATCGTTGCTGGACGGGCTGGTGGGGATATTTTTTTCGTCGCGGCCGCAAGCGAGCGCGCCAGCAGCGTCAGAGGTCGGGCGGGCTACGCGCGAGCCTAATTGCCTAGCGCACGGGGACCGACGGCCGAACCTAAGCAGCCTAAGCTGCCTAAGCTGCCGGGCTGCGCGAAGTGGTGCCAGGAAGCGGGGCAGGGCCCGAAACCTTGCCGGCGGGCGATGCAAACTGCAACCAGGACCAGGATCCGGGGGCAATGCCGATGCGCGAAGTGAACCAAGGAGCTATACGCAGCCAAAATGGCGCGGCAAGGCCACAGACAGCGAAGCTGACAACTGACCGCTGAGGGCGAGGACTTGACGTAGGATAAACCACACGAGACGTCCATGCACCCAGCCCCTGAGGGGGGCAGCTCGCTTAGAATACATTCCAGGAGGTAATACTAACACCGATGGCCAGGAGGAATACGTCACTGACCAGGAACCACTACGAATGGCGCCACCGAAGTCGCACACTCACCTCTGAGATAAAAGACGGGGCAATCCCCTCTCCGAGAACGAGAGGAAGAGCCAGCCAGGAAAATGGTGGAAGGGATCGACACCGGAAACCTGTTTTTTTTTGGCAGGTCCAGGCAAACAACTCATGCGCGCAAGCTCGTTCGAGTACACGAGCCTGTAACTTCGCTGCTGGAGACCGTGGCGAGACATTGGGTCATTGCCACATTAACGCCATTGTCAAAGAAAGAGGAACTGCAACTCGACAACGAGGCAACTCTCAAGCTCCAGAGCGCGAAAAATGAGAAGACAAGCTGGCAATGAACAAGTAGAAACATAGGAGAACGATTTACATCGGCGCGTGGCCTGCTGCTTCTGCTTGGGCAACTCCCCCCCTTTGCCTGAGCAAGGCGTCAATAGTGGTACATGTGGGCTCGTCGCCGTCATCGGCGACCAGGAGCTGCACAGTGTTGGCAGAACTACACGCCTCTTCCTCTGGCGGAAGGCAGGGCAACTCGTGCGCCCCGCGCGGCGGGACCCAACACGACGCGTCCGCGACTGCGGGCGGTATGCACCTGGTACTGTCTCTGTGCACCTGGGTCTTATCATTCTCCACACTCAGCGCTTCGACTCGTGAATGGGACGCTCCACACGTAGCGCTTAGTTGCTTTGTTTGCTCTGGGCTGGTTATGCTTGCAGTTACGATTGTCAAGAGCGCTCGCTAGAGGGCGGCCGCCCTTGGTTGCCACTGCCACAAGCTACAGCGAAAGAACATCACTATGAATGCTGCCACCGCGACTGGCTGCCACAGCTGCTCCATGCTCCACACTATCGATGCTCCACCCCACGACCACGCTTAGTGGACGTCTGCGCGAAAGCGGCGGAATGATCGTGAATGGGCAAGCGAGACAACATAAGGCCCCACAAGCGATGACGAATAACAAAAGAGGACTCCGAGAATCGCTCGACCCTGCCTGGATATCATGTGTGACATCGACGGCAATCACCGCGATATCAAGCACGGAAACCGAATGCACGCCCTCCCCGAAGATCGAGTCGATGTGATCCTGTAGCAAGGACATGAATTATATGATACTCACATATGTTAGGGATGCCTCCGCATCGACAACATCTGGAACATCAGCAGCGCTATCTGAAGGCACGCTGATGTTGAATTCCACCTCGAAGGTATCCCCAATGAGCTGTCGCGTGGCGGCCCTGACCCTCCGGGACTTTAGGTACCAAACGGAAATGTAGCTCGCTGGTATGCTCACGACCTGAGAAATAGTGAGACGAAACGAATTCAAGACCTTCTCCGCAGCCAGCGGGTCGTTCCCAAATGCGCCTGGAGCTGAAAACGAAGCCAAAATCGATCCGCTTAGCTGAAGTGGTACTTCACTGTTCGAAAGATTGTTCTGGATCGTATCGGAAGCAATCTTTGTCGAGCCAGTCACTGAGGACGAGCCGCTTGAGGTGCTTGTTGTGCTGCTGATGCTGCTGCTCTCAGTGCTGCTGGTCAGAGTCCTGCTGGTACTGGTGCCACTTGTGTTGCTAATCGACAGGCTGGTCACAGTGACGCTGCTCGTGCTGCTGCCACTTGTGCTGGTCATAGACAGGCTGGTCACAGTGACGCTGCTCGTGCTGCTGCCACTTGTGCTGCTCGCTGACGTGCTGGTTGCAGTGCTGCTGCTGGTCACAGTCGTGGTGGTCGTGCTCGTGCTGCTGCTGGTCACAGTCCCGCTGGAAATGCTCGTGCTGCTGCTCGTCAGGGTCCTGCTAGTGTTGGTCATGCTGGTAGCACTCGTGATGGTCGACGATGCAGTCGTCATAGTAAGTGTAGTGGCGCTGCTGGTAGTGGCCGTCGAGGTCGTGGACGTTGTAGTCTGCCCGATACAAATGAATCGCAAATCTGGGCTCCCTACGAAAGATCCGCTGGACTCGCTCCAGAAGACCTCATCACTCCGGTTGTTGTAGACGCAACCGTTGAACCCCATACCAAGCAAAGACCTAAACGTTTTGTCTTCCAGGCCGAGGCTCTGAAGCGCCGTCCCACTGCACATGGTCTCTTCAGTCACGTCCAGCGTCCCGAAGTCTGCGCAGACCTGGCCAAAGTTCAGCAACGAGAACGCCAGCGCTGAGCTGATCGTTGTTGTGCCAATCGTACTAGTCAAAACGGTGCTGCTGGTCACAGTCGTGGTGACAATGGTCGTGCTGCTGCTGGTCAGAATCGTGACGGTCGTGCTCGTGCTGCTGTCACTTGTGCTGCTCATTGACAGGCTGGTCACAGTGACGCTGCTCGTGCTGCTGCCACTTGTGCTGCTCGCTGACGTGCTGGTTGTAGCGCGGCTGCTGGTTATTGACAGGCTGATCATAGTGGCGCTGCTTATGCTGGTGCCACTTGTGCTGCTCATTGACATGCTGGTCACAGTGACACTGCTCGTGCTGCTGCCACTTGTGCTGGTCATAGACAGGCTGGTCACAGTGACGCTGCTCGTGCTGCTGCCACTTGTGCTGCTCGCTGACGTGCTGGTTGCAGTGCTGCTGCTGGTCACAGTCGTGGTGGTCGTCCTCGTGCTGCTGCTGGTCACAGTCCCGCTGGAAATGCTCGTGCTGCTGCTCGTCAGGGTCCTGCTAGTGTTGGTCATGCTGGTAGCGCTCGTGATGGTCGACGATGCTGTTGTCATAGTAAGTGTAGTGGCGCTGCTGGTAGTGGCCGTCGAGGTCGTGGACGTTGTAGTCTGCACGATACAAATGAATCGAAACTTTGGGATCCCTACGAAAGATTCGCTGGACTCGCTCCAGAAGACCTCATCACTCCGGTTGTTGTAGGCGCAACCATGGAAGCCCAAACCAGGCAAAGACCTAAACGATTTGTCTTCCAGGCCGAGGCTCTGAAGCGCCGTCCCACTGCACATGGTCTATTCAGTCACGTCCAGCGTCCCGAAGTCTGCGCAGACCTGGCCAAACTTCAGCAACGAGAACGCCAGCGCTGAGCTGATCATTGTTGTGCCAATCGTACTAGTCAAAACGGTGCTGCTGGTCACAGTCGTGGTGACAATGGTCGTGCTGCTGCCACTTGTGCTGGTCATAGACAGGCTGGTCACAGTGACGCTGCTCGTGCTGCTGCCACTTGTGCTGCTCGCTGACGTGCTGGTTGCAGTGCTGCTGCTGGTCACAGTCGTGGTGGTCGTGCTCGTGCTGCTGCTGGTCACAGTCCCGCTGGAAATGCTCGTGCTGCTGCTCGTCAGGGTCCTGCTAGTGTTGGTCATGCTGGTAGCGCTCGTGATGGTCGACGATGCTGTCGTCATAGTAAGTGTAGTGGCGCTGCTGGTAGTGGCCGTCGAGGTCGTGGACGTTGTAGTCTGCCCGATACAAATGAATCGCAAATTTGGGCTCCCTACGAAGGATCCGCTGGACTCGCTCCAGGAGACCTCATCACTCCGGTTGTTGTAGACGCAACCATTGAACCCCAAACCAAGCAACGACCTAAACGTTTTGTCTTCCAGGCCGAGGCTCTGAAGCGCCGTCCCACTGCACATGGTCTCTTCAGTCACGTCCAGCGTCCCGAAGTCTGCGCAGACCTGGCCAACGTTCAGCAACGAGAACGCCAGCGCTGAGCTGATCATTGTTGTGCCAATCGTACTAGTCAAAACGGTGCTGCTGGTCACAGTCGTGGTGACGATGGTCGTGCTGCTGCTGGTCAGAGTCGTGACGGTCGTGCTCGTGCTGCTGTCACTTGTGCTGCTCATTGACAGGCTGGTCACAGTGACGCTGCTCGTGCTGCTGCCACTTGTGCTGCTCGCTGACGTGCTGGTTGCAGTGCGGCTGCTGGTTATTGACAGGCTGGTCATAGTGACGCTGCTTATGCTGGTGCCACTTGTGCTGCTCATTGACATGCTGGTCACAGTGACACTGCTCGTGCTGCTGCCACTTGTGCTGGTCATTGACAGGCTGGTCACAGTGACGCTGCTCGTGCTGCTGCCACTTGTGCTGCTCGCTGACGTGCTGGTTGCAGTGCTGCTGCTGGTCGCAGTCGTGGTGGTCGTGCTCGTGCTGCTGCTGGTCAGTCCCGCTGGAAATGCTCGTGCTGCTGCTCGTCAGGGTCCTGCTAGTGTTGGTCATGCTGGTAGCGCTCGTGATGGTCGACGATGCTGTCGTCATAGTAAGTGTAGTGGCGCTGCTGGTACTGGCCGTCGAGGTCGTGGACGTTGTAGTCTGCCCGATACAAATGAATCGAACATTTGGGTTCCCTACGAAGGATCCGCTGGACTCGCTCCAGAAGACCTCATCACTCCGGTTGTTGTAGGCGCAACCATTGAACCCCAAACCAAGCAACGACCTAAACGTTTTGTCTTCCAGGCCGAGGCTCTGAAGCGCCGTCCCACTGCACATGGTCTTTTCAGTCACGTCCAGCGTCCCGAAGTCTGCGCAGACCTGGCCAAAGTTCAGCAACGAGAACGCCAGCGCTGAGCTGAACGTCGCTGTGCTCGTCGTGGTCGTCGGCTCCGCAGCTCGTGTTGCGGCCGAAGATCCCTGCCAGGTGTGCCTGCACTGCGGGCAGTCCGAACACTCCTGGACTGCAGCACATGCGCTGCTCCACTCCCTTGCTCCAGGGCAGCGGTTGTGATCACACGCATGTGCAGCCGAGAACCCTCTGGCTCCTCTGGCCAGGTCAGCGAACGTGCTGACGTTCTCAACCACGATGACAGCAAGGGATACAGATGCATCAAAAGCGCCAACAATCAGAGATGAAACCAACCGCATCTTCGCTGGGGCGACGACGGCAATGCTTTGCAACCCAGTCCAGTTCTCGATACATGAACCAGAGAAGGTTTGAGTCAAAAGGCTCAAGCCAAAGGCTACGGACCTGGCGGGGATACGCGAAGCGCCAAGATACGAAGCGCGCCTCGGGCCAATCATTCGGCTGTCCCTCAAGATTCAGCCTTAGCCACTTCACCTCTGTCACTGGGAAGGCCCATCCGTGAGTCTGGAGCCGATCCTGCAGGAGAGTGAATATTTCGCAGATCTGCGCCACTGTGATCAAAAGGGCGTGCATGTTGTCACTGAAGATGAGGACTGGCGCGAATAACAAAGTACATGCGCAGCGTACTACTTTTCCATGAGGCCAGCGCCGCGAGATAGGCACCAAACCAACTCATCGGCGGCGCTGGTTCTCGTCCAGGCTGGTTGCAACAATCCTCCGACGCGATTGCGAAAACATACTGTGCCAGTTACTCCCAGTGTTGTGGTAACGACCAAGGGATGTGCTTGGTGAGCCCCATGGCACTGCCGAGCTGCGTACGATGGCGGATCGACCGTGAAAGGCGGACAAGCCATGCCGTGTAGGCTGGTGGCACGGCCCGCTGCTGGAACGCCTATATGACAAGTCTGTGTTGCTTGAACTCGTAGGCCTTTGCAATGTCTGCGATGGGATGATGCTGCTGCTGAGGATGATGATGATGCTGATGCTGATGCTGCTGCTGCTGCTGCTGCTGATGATGATTATGCTGCTGCTGATGATGACACTGATGATACTGATGGTGGTGGTGGTGGCGGTGGTGATGGTGGTGATGACGATGATGGTGAAGATGCTGATGATGACGATAACGATGCTGCTGCTGATGCTGCTGCTGCCGCTGATGATGATGAGGATGCTGAGGCTGAGGACCAGGAGGGGCTGTTTGGGACCCGCGCCAGCTCAAACAGGGCAATGGGTTGGAGCGGGTCTCAAGCTTTTTCTCATTCCTGCTGCGCTGTTGCGTTGGCACGGTGTCACGGTTTGTCGCAGGCGGCCGTGTCTTGGGATCAATAACAGATGTTGTGGGAAGAAGGAGGAGGAGGAGGAGGAGGAGGAGGAGGAGGAGGAGGAGGAGGAGGAGGAGGGGGAGGAGGAGGAGGAGGAGGAGGAGGAGGAGGAGGAGGTGTGTCTTGGGATCAATAACAGATGTTGTGGGAAGAAGATTCGGGCCTTCACCGGCTCGAGGAGATCTGCAATGCTGGGAGCTCCGTCGGCATCTTGAGATGGTGCAAGGCCAGCGTTGTGCAACATGCGGCAGCTTACTCGACACACACGTGCAGTCTCCAATCTCGTCGACCCCTCCTTCCTGCCTCGCTCTCTCCTCCCCGTCCTTCCTCCTTCTGTTTCTTGTTTCTTCTTATTTTCCTCCCCCTTCTCGAGCGGCTGTCCGCCTTCGGATACCACGAGAAGAGGTGACAAAGGCGGACGCTGGAGTGCCGGGCGCCTGTAGGGAGCTGAAAGAGGAGCTCCTGCTGCCACCCGAGGATGATGTCAGCAAGTGCCGCTGGGGACCTCCATCTTTATCCTGCCGGCTGCACCCTGCACCGTGCAAGAGCTTGAAGCACCCTTTCAAGTCAGAGCAACGGGGCTCACGATGATCAAGCTTTCCCCGCCGAGCGGATTTCACCGGGGGCGCCACACATGTGGATTCTGCAAGCTGGGCTGCATCGGTGTTTACGCGAGGAGGGTCGCAGCTGCCTTACGCCGTAGAACTCTGCCCTCCTGGCTGCGCAGCTGCAGTCAGCCCTGAGGTCGGCTCAGCCACGCGGGCCAATAAAACCAACGGCTGCGAACGAAACAGCAACTACAGTCGGGGCGTTGACCTAAGGAACCCTAAATAAGGAAAGAGGTCCCTTTTTTCAATAAGTTAACCTTCGATTTCCTATCGAAAACGTAAGGGAAGCCTGAGGCAAGCTGCGAAACACTTAAGGAACGCGGAGCCCCTCCCCAACCAAAAGGGTTCCTTCTTCAGGGCCCCGACTGTACCCTCCGCCTGCCGCGAAACCGCCTGCCCAGATGCTGAGAGCGGCGCAGGTGCACCCGTGAAGAAGAGGGGGGGGGCGCTGCCGGCCCGATCAGAAGTGGCGGATCATCCGCAACTCCCGCCCCTCTCGGGGGAACGGAAGGGGGGGATAGCAAAAGGGTAGGGTAGAGAATCAGCTCACGCAGCTGATCTTCTCGGCGCCTCCCGGCGCCGGGAGGCGCCCATCCATCGAGGAAAGGGGCCCGGCGGCGGGGCCGAAACCAGCCGCATGCGGCAGATTTCGTAACCCCCCCTTTCCCTATCCCCCCCTTTCGTTCGGCCTGACCCTCCGACGGGGCTCCGCGGCCCGTGCCGCGCGCGCGCAGGCGCCCTCCGCCTGCGTCCCTCCGACGGGCTCGCGGCGCGACAGTTCCTCAACCAGCTGCCGCAATGCGCCGGTGCGACTGAGAAAGCCCAATGCGGAGGCGGGATCCCGTGCCACCAGGGCGTCGAGGGTGGTAAAGGCCACGTTCTTGGCCACCGCATTGCTGTCCGTGGCGCTGGAGAAACAGGTCAGCCAAGCCCGGGCCTGGGCGCCGCACCCTGCGGCGGGCGAGCGGCGAGGAGGCGGAGGCGCCATGCCGCACCCCGCGCCTCGCCAAGGGAGAGCCGGGGAGGGCCCGGCGGCCGGGAGCGGTCCAGCCGACCCGCCCCCCTCCGCCTCCTCCGCCTCCTCCTCCTCCTCGTCCTCCTCCTCCTCCTCCTCCCTAGTATTCCTCCAGTGGGCACTGTCCTGGGACTCTTCCTCCTCCTCCTCCTCCTCCTCCTCCTCCTCCCGTTCCTTCTCCTCCTCCTCTTCTTCCGTAGCCATTTTGGCTCAAGATGCCTGGTTCCCTTGGGGCCAAAACGGATACCGCTAGTCCGCGGCAGCTTTCATCCTTCACGGAGGTCCCTTGCACAGGGCGCGAGCACAGGATCCTATCGGCGGAGTGCGCTCCTGAGGCAAGGGGTTCGAGAGCCTCCAACCATCCTCAGCCATGGCGCCGGCGCCGTGGCACTCGCCGAAGCTGGATTGGATGTGCAAGTTCTGTGTACACAAAAAGTCTGGTCTTCCTCTGGTCAACTGGGGCAGCAATGATCGTTGCTTCATGTGCCATGTCCATAAGTCAGCCAGCTTCAAATGTGTGCGCCCAAGCAAGTCTCCTTCATTCAGCACGGGAGGCAAAGACAAGGGAGCTTTCAGCAAGTTGGTGCGCCGCCTCGAGGAGTTGGAGAAGGAGAGTGCCACCCTCGAAGGCGACGGTGTCGGAGGCCCTCCGCAGTCCGACACCACCAATGAGCCAGCCGAGCTTCGCGAGGAGATCGGTTCGCTGGCCAAACATATCAAGTGGTTGGAGTCTATCA